GACCATAAAAGTAATGCTTAAATCTCTGCAATAAACCCAATTGTGATTAATTCAAGTCATTCTGTGGCCGTCTGCATAGGCTTTTAGCTCTCGCATATGTTTATTATAGAAAACCATCACGCATATTTAATGAATCCTCACAGGAATACTTGTTTACAAGATTGTTTTATGCTTTCCAGAAAGCTTTATGAATCTGTTATGATATGATGACTAAATAGGGCCAAATCAGTCTGAAGTGTACAGGAGCCACAGGAAGACGCGTCTACTTTTGGTACTTGTCCTTCAGACACTGTGGATCTGCTCTTTGACTCATTACTGGTCATTTAGAAACTGCACTGCACAATCAATGGACCCATCAATTAGTCGATGTGTCAGTTAGTCACAGGGGTAAAAACCCAGCTCACAATTTTGGATCCGTTTAGTCCATCACCGTCCAGCTCCCCCTCCAAATTTCGATTCCTTCACGTCTTCAACTTTCGATTTAAGCGCAATCTGCAGAATCTATTCAGCATTTAAAGAAATGTGGATATGTGCCCAAAGAAAAATCATCCTGTTGGCTGATATCGATGTGACTTGCCCCCATGTTGTTTCGAACCTGTATGATTTTCTTCTATGCATCACAAAAGGAAATGTTTTGAAGACTGTTCATTCTTTTGTATTTAATGAACATGAATGGGTACCGAGGCTGACAAACTCCAAAAATGAAAAAATAAAAATAAATAGCTGAGTCTGTATGATTTTTGCACAATATTTCAAAGGGATAGTTCACCCCAAACTGAAAATTCTGTCATCATTTACTCACCCTTGTGTCTTCTGTGGAACATTTTTTTGCTTCATCCAGTGGAAGTCAGTGGTTACCAAAACTCACCAACATTCTTCAAAATATATTATTATTTTATTCTTTATAATATTCTTTTGTTTTCTGAATAAAGAAATTTATTTATGATATATGCATATCATATTGGCAAGTACATAAAATGTTCTTCTTCATTAAATTTTTCTCTACTTAAATGTTCTCACATAGAACTGTCACTGTCACACAGGCTGTGTTTATGTGTAAATTTATTAATATTTTTAATTATTTTTCTTTATATGGCCAGTTTTCATTTTAATTTTGGTAGTTTAATTTTTTTTTGGTAATTTTGTCATTTATGTAATTTTTTAAATATATTTATTTTTTAATTTAGCTGTAATTTATTTCAGTTTTATTTTTAGTATTTATTAATATTATTAGTTATTAATATAATTAACTTATTTTACTTTTTATTTTAATTTCTATCTAAGTTTTTCATATAATATTTATTTTTATTCTATTTATTTTAATTAACAATTTAATTTAATGAAAAAAATATTTGTAATATTTTTACTTTTAGTTAACAATAACAACACTGCTTGACAGTCACGTTATACTGTATAGTCACTATAACATTCTTCAAAATGTCTCCTTTATTGCTCCATGGAAGAAAGTAAGATTTGGAACAACATGAGTAAATGATGACAGAATTTTGTGTTTGCATTAAAATGACTGTTAACTAGTTTGACATTTTGTGTGTGTGATTTGCCTAATCACGTGACCTTTTAATTTTCGAAAAATGGTTGAAGCTCAGTATTTGTGGAACTGGTTTAGTCTGAGTGCCATGTCATAAAACTAATGCGATGAAAAGACGGGCTTTCAATCTTACACTGCTCAAACAGCCCCAGTTCAACTACCTGAAATAAATATAATTTATAATTAGACTCAGGCGTAGTTACCAATTGAGATGTGCGTCGAGGCTTCCCTGTGCAGGATGTGGTCTGTTTTTCACATAAATGCTCCCACATATGCCCACTCATACATGCACAGATCAAGTGTAGACGGTTGACATGTTCAAACCAGATATGGACATTGTTACATTTTTATGGCTGATGTAAATATGTGCAAGCCGAGCTCAGAAAACCTGATGCTAGCAACAGATGGAGGGTGGCTCATAATTTCCCGGGCACAGCTATTGGAGATGTGTGTCGTGCAGCTGCTTACCGCAGTGTCAAGAAAAACAGCATCTGGGTGTGTGTATGTGCGAGCGAATGAGTGATCGGGAGAGAGAAGCGCCTGAGCCACTGAATGATTGAACTGACAGTATCGAGAGCATGACACAGTGGCAAATCCCAGAAGTTTTAAATCATTTGTCGTTAAGTGCCAGAGCTAAATAAGCGATTAAGACTTTGGATTCCTTTAGGAGTGTCACAAAATGGCCTACCCAGCTTGATCTGCTAGCCACCAGGTGCCAAGCGCCACTTCCTGTCAACGGACAAGAGGGGAGACCTCTGGGAATCACGTTTCCACAACAGCAAGCTACAAGTGCGTGAATTTGCATAGCTGACAAGCCAAATGCTCCAAGGAATGTGCTGCCCTCTCTTCAATTAAACGCTTTCTCATTAGCTTAGGTGTAATTGCATTCTGGGTAATTTAAATGTGACTGAATAAATCGTGAGACGGAATGTGATTTGGGAGCACCAGACAATGAGTAATGGTGAGCTGGAGTCAGTGTCCTCATCAATGAAATTACTGATATATATTTGTTGACAGAAGGTTCTTTTGGTTTTGTCAGTGGCAATGAAGGTGAAATGCTTTATTTAAACATACTGTATATTTTATGTATTATAAAACATTTTTTATTTAAATATTCTATGATAATTATTTAATATATAATATTTGTTATATATGTGTGTGTGAGCATGTGCACGTGTGTGTATTACACACTCTCTCTCTCTCTCTCTCTCTATATATATATATATATATATATATTCTGCAATAGAAATGAAGCAGAAATAAAATTATGAAAACTTACATTTGAAAAATTAAAGATTTGAAATGTGTTGCCTTGACAACTTACTGAATTAAATTTAAATTGAAGTACTAAAATTACTAAGACTGAAAAAATAAAGCTAAATAGAAATATAAAAAAAATACAAATGACTGATACAAATGACACAATTACAATGAAAGAAAGAAAGAGAAAACTTTACTGTACATAAAATGTAAGCTAATAAATAAAATCATGTATTAGAGATGATTATTAAATTACAAATGTTTGCGTTTTCAATGTGTTTATAAATATAATTTTTTTGTAAAATGTGTCTGGCTACAGTTGATAGGTTGTCATCATTTCGAACATTTTTATAATTAAATTAATATTTTTATTAATAAAAAAAAAAACATTTCAGTCAGAGTAAAATTGTGTAAAATTAATATATATGGAATGGCAAAATTTACAACTATTTTTTTTTTGCCAAAAGACATAGACTGACCAAATCTCATAACTGTGCAAATAATAAATCCTTGGCTGCATTTCTTGCATATATCAAAAGAACTATGCATATTTCTTTATTTTTATGTATTCATATATTTTTATTTCTCTTTATATTTGTATTTTATATTTTATTGTTTTAGTCCATTAGTGTGCCACTTCTTCTCTTTTTATTAGTTTCTCATTGATGTTTGTTTGTTGTTATAATGAGGTCCTGGCTGGTACAGTATACTGTATCCACATATGTCTCCAGGCTGTCCTCTATGGCACATGAGCCAGCTGAATACAGATGCTGATGAGGCAGAAGCCTCCTGCTGTTCATCTAAAACCTTCCGTCATTGACACTGGAAAACACTTTCCTGCAGCCAAGAGGGTCCTTTAAACCGAAGGGCTTCCAAAACCACATTACCCAGTACAGCACTGATTAGAAAAAAACGAATTTTCCTGGCATTCCAGTCTCTCCCCCAAGTACAAAAGTCGATTAGCTATTTGTAAATGAGTGCATGCTTTGAACATCATCATTACCAGACTTTGGGCAAATACAATTACCATAGAATGAAATTGAAATAGGTTTCATTTAATGTGAAATGTGTCTTTCTGTGAAAAATGTTTCGTCCTTGAGCTCTAAAAATCTCGATGGATGGTTCTGTCAGGCTAATTTTTAGTTTTGTTTGGTGTATGACACATTCTGTCCGAACGGCCAATGTGGACTTAATTACTCGGCTGGATCCTGATGTTCTCAGAATGCAAATTGTCAGCATGTGATATGAGTAACTTATAAAAATGAAGAGAGGCAAGATGGTGTTATACTGATAACTGGCTTTGAATGGAAAATGACCATCTGTATTTACCATTAAACAAGCAAATGGAATCAAGCATTGTTTGTTTGCAGACACCGCTTGGTTTTATAAGCCTATATTTTTATCTAAGTCTTTATTTTTGGTGGACCAACGTACATTCTTAAAAATAAAGGTTCTTTATTGGCATCAGTGGTTCCGTGATCAACCTTTAACCGTCTTTCCATTGCACAAAAGTTCTTTATAGTGGACAATGGTTCTTCAGATTATTAAATATTCTTTACACTTAGAAAAATTGTTCTTTTAAGAACTGTTCATTAAAAGGTTCTTTGGGGAACCCAAAATGGTTCTATGGCATCGCTATAAAAGCTCCCATTTGAGAGTCTTTATTTTTAAGAGTGTGTTTGTAATAATTATACCTGCATTGACATGAAAGCATAAACATTTTAATATTCCACGTTACACACAGAGCTCAAACTTTAATTTCATCTGCTCGTCGGCAAGCCCTTGTTGTCTTCTGAGTGGCTGTGTTTATCAGCGTTTAGCAGCGGATGGCCAAAGTGTTCGAGCTGGGGAAACTTCTAGAAACATAGTTATGGCGTTGGCCAAACTTCTGAAAACATTTATTAATCAGAGTCTGTGTTGTAATGGGTGCTAATTCACAAAACGATGATGCCAGTATTTATAAATTTTTAGACAAAGTAGTATATAATTTTAATATCAGCCATTTATCAGTTATTTGCTGTAACATAATTATTATCGGCTTTTTAGTGAGGATTTTTGATATTGGCGCATTTCTAATATTTATCATGTTTTTCTGTTTTGAACCAATCACAACATCTTTGACTTCTCTACAGGCCAATGGGAATTTTCAGATGAATATGTTCTAATTCTATGTTCTGGATTTGTTTTGCAGACACATTGAGAACTGGTCGGGCTTGCAGACGTTGAGGGACGTTGACATGGAGTTGTACACTGGGATTCAGAGACTGTGAGTTCCACATTACTACCACATCTCGCTTAGGACAATAGATATAATGATAACAAGGGTGCCGCCACACTTAAAAAAAGAAAAATAAATCGCCAAAGATAGCTTTTTGATCTGGCATCTGCAGGAACATATTGCTAGCGATGCCATTCTAGCATGGGCAACTTTCACAGTGGCATCCAAATGCTTTTTCTAGCCAGCCCCACATAAAATTGCCTCCCCAAGGCCTGCTTTAAAATGATCAAATAATGCTGCTGAAGTGACCAGATAATTTAATTACATCCCCCAACACCCTCCATCTGGCCAAGCCTGGCTTTACCTCATTCAGTCTGCTGCTGTCATGCACGTATCTTTACTTGGCTCTTCATAAGTAGGGCTTCCTCCCTCACAAGAGCCCCTCAAACCTCTTCTTCCTCCCTATTATGGCTCTACTGGTTAATGGAGACCAGGAGCAATGATTAGTAAGGTTCTCATTAGCAGTTACTTCTCACCTTTTCTATTAAGTGGACGTGGCAGAACCTGGTCATGGTCTGCCATTGGAGGAAATTTTTGAGCTGAGAAGATTCACAGTTTGGCGATTATCCATTTTAAGTATCATGTTCATTCGGCTTAAGTCTCCAACCTCATGCTAAAAGAAATACTTTGATGTAATCGCTCACGCAAACATCCCTAATAACAAGAGCGGAGAGTGCTTCGTGCAAATAAACATCTCACAAATGCCAATAAAAAAAAATGTATTCAATATACATAATTGATTCCAGCTGCCAGCATAAATAACTGCGGGAGCAAGGATGCAGGCTCTTGATGATATTCTGCCCTTAATGATGTTACTTCAGGAGAGGAGACAGACTGGAAGAGAGGATTTGATGATGTTTTTTTCCCCCTTTTACTTCCACATTTCCCCTTTTAACACTGTTGCGAGACGGCTAGGCAATTAGCAGCCCGTTTAGCCCCTAGCTGCTGTCAGATCCATTTAAAATGATGACCATGAACTTGTCCTTCACTCATTTTTTAACCAGCTCACCTCCTCTTAGACCTATGATTTGAAATCAGAGCAACTTAGTGCAGCATTTGACATTAGCATAACCTAATTGTCCTTTGCTACATGTGGTTGTTTTTTTCCCCCCACAAGTAGCATTATAGTTTCCCAAGGTTTTCATTACATCTCTTGCACTCATTTTAAATATTTGTCATACAATTTTCTCTTTGCACACGTTTGATGCACAGATGAAAAAAACTTTTTTTTAAATGTGGGGGAAAGCCTAGAATCAGAGATAAGTTAATGATCAACTGGAGCCCATCTGCATGTTCTGCATGTATGAAACTGAAGCTGTTTGAAATCTATAGAAATACAAATCTTCTTTAGAAATTGTGAGATTAGTTTGTGAGAAGCTGTTAATGATATATTCAAGAATGATCTAAATATCATTACAAAAAGTGGCTTTAGAAGTCAATATATTCTGATCTGCAGTCAATTTTTCATCATTTTGCGTTTCAAGATTTAAAAGTGTTTCAACTTTAGAAAAATGTCCAGGAAGAAAAAACATGAGTTCAAAATTGTTGGGTTCACACTTGGGACTAACTACTAATACATGTTTATTTGTCCTTTCCATTCCAGGAACATTGTGAACTGCAACTTGCGTACGATTCAGTCGCGAGCCTTCGCTAAGAACCCCTACCTACGCTACATGTGAGTCTTGTGTGCTAGATTGTTCTCGAACACCTCATTTGAAAGTCAATTGTTTGTTCCTCGAGAATCATACTGTTAGATATGGATCGTTATGTTGGGTTTACTCGTTCATCTACACCAGGCAATAGATCTTCTTAAGTAGGCCATGTTTAGCAAATGGGGACAATACATTTTCCATCTTTGGATACTCTGCACAGTATCATGGCTGCTCTTATTCGAGAGATGCTTTGGCCCTCCGTGCATAATTTATGATGATAAAGTTCTCTGCCATGTGTTACTGAGCACCACCCACAGCTATTTCTCAAAAGTGAGCTTTGCGAGTAGCCCGGCAGACACATACGTTGGTTTTAATCTCTGAAGAGCAGTTTTGCAGAGTGCTTGTTAACATATCGTCTTTTTCTATAAACGTTTGATGGTTTAAAATTGCTTGACCGAAATGACTCCTTTCGATAATTGGCCTAACAGTCTGTGCCATAAAGCAGCAACGTGCGCCTCTTAAAATTCTTTGTGTTAGATTGCTTGCTCACTTCCTTGTTGTGTGCTCTGAATAAACAAAGATTGTTTGAGGTAGAGCTGCCTGAGATGTGGGGGAGAAGGTGGTGGAGAATGCGGGCACAGAGAGAGAGATGATTTACTTAATGAAGGCTGAATGGGACGAGTGTGACAGGACTGTTATTTCCCAATTTCCTGCCAGTGAGCGGTGGAAAGGACGTGGAATCGCAGACTGTCACCTCCACACAGTCCATCCCAATTTGTGCTGTCCATCACCACCTGCAAATGCACTTCTTATTTTCTCTCTGTCATAAACCGACGCGTGTGAGATTTTGTGTTGGTGAGCGTTCCTGGTGAATGTCTTCTGTACAAAATGTTCGGGAACTCTTTGTGTCATGTATTTGTCACTACATGTGTCCACAGTATTGTGTACGGGAACCTTTTTTCATGCCAAGTTTCAGGTACAATTTGCACTAGCAGTCTGTTAGCACTATGTGTGCACTTGGGCTACACAGAATCTACTTTTTTTTTATACACATTTAAAAAAAAAAAAAATTTTTCTGGAACATTACCACCACAGTGTCACTTCCACCACAGTGATGTAGTGAATCAGCTAATGGGGAAATATGAATAATTAATCATAACTAGTTATAATTAATTATAAATATTTAGATCCGCTGTAGATATTTAGCTACCACCGACTCTGGGCGGGTCCCTGGTGTGAGGCCTTTTTAAGGTCTCGGAAGATTCACGCCTCTCAAAAGCATCTTGTCCAATGAGAAAGACGGAAATCCCAAGTGTGAGTTTGGAAATACTGGGGAGTTTTATGACTCTTTGTGTGGAAGCATGGTAATTTGCATATGGAACTTGAATCGAAATTACTAAAGATTCTCAGGACACTAATATATTGCCTATGTACCAACATATAATATACACTCTCGTTTAGATCATCAGAAGACTAATTCATAGATACTAAACATGGTAGGGTTACATATATGTAGGATGACAGGAATGAGTGTTTCCATCACAAGCCTGCATAAAACAGTATAAAATCTCAAAGACAACATACACGATGACCTGAAGGCTATGTGTGTTCATTCAAAGAAAGGTTTTCCTATGGATTAATTAGTAGAAAAGTCCATTTCTACTGTGCATTGTGCCTCTTGCTATGGAACATGCAGTGATTTTCCCTACTCACATTCCATCAGGTCGTAAATGGCTCTGGTCTTAGCAAAGGTGTCGGGGTTGCCATGGTAACCAGTGGCCTGTGGTCATTCGCAGACATCCTGGCGCCCAGTCTATTGGGTGAGGGGTCTGTGACGACTTGTTAATCTAATGAATAACTGCAATTATTTTATCGCGCGTTAACGCAGTTTTTTATTATTATGAAAGTCCGTTGCTCACTGGCTCTAAATACACATACAGACAAACCATCGGGCACAAGAAAAGATTGCCTAGTGTGAGTACACCCTTATTCTCCCGCATCCCGCACACATGAGTCTCTACCCCTCCCGAACTCGCAGTCGCCCATCAAGTGTTGTCCCGCGCCGCACTCTACTGCGTTGGGTCCCGCGATAGTGCAGGTCTCTAAGGTGCCTGTTATAATGTTATGATCGAGGCACTGGACTCTGAGCATAACTTGTTTTTCTATAACAAACTACAGTATAAAATATTTTCTATAAAAAAGTTAATGCCCTTGCAGTGGCAAATAGATTTGGTTTTATATTTAATTTGATTACATTAATGTTATAAGTTGAGATTTACAAGAAATATTTTAACTGCTGCTATGTAAAAGGAATACTGCTGTAAAAAAAGCACCTTATTTGTTTAAAGTGCATTTTTGTTCATATAGCACTACTTTTAAATGAAAAAGTGCACAATACACTACTTTTGAATTCATTATTGAATTTTGTGCATAATGCGATTAATCGCAGAAAAATCATGTGATTAATCGCGATTTAAAAAATTGTTATCGTTGCCCAGCACTAAAAATAATACATTACAGTTAAAATTATAATTTTACAAAGTACTTCCGTCAAAACATCAAAATTGCGTGCACGTCTTCAAACCATGTGACAAGATTACTGCAATATTTCAATCTTTTTTTTTTTAATAGATCCATCATAGTTTTAAACATGTATGATTTACATTTTTATTATTGTTTTTTAATAGTTTAGGGTTGAAAGTCTGGGTTTAAGTACTAGTGATTGAGCAATGGTGACCAAGAGAACAGATGTAGGGGTGTCTTTCTCTTCAGGACATATTCAAAACTATCTGTGTGTGTGTGTGTGTGACAGAGAGAGAGAGAGAGAGAGAGAGAGAGAGAGAGTCAGGCAGGCACATACTACAGTAATGTCTCTTTTTGGGCCCTTTTGTTTTATTCTCCATTCCATGTGTGGTCTTCACGGAACACTGACTTTTATGAGCAAAAAAGATTTCCAGATGTGTCATTCACAATGCACACGAGGTCAGGTCGCGGGAACAAAGCGGCAGTGTTCTGATCCGTTTCCCATTTCTGCTTTATGCCCCAAATGCTTGATGTGGATGACACATCACCATACTCACATGGAACTCAAGTTATAAGTGCTAAAATAACATCATTACTGTTCTGGATCAATACACTTATATA